TAGATTATAGTATGTACAATAGATATAGATAGTGTGGTCCCGGCATAGAATAGGCCATCCCTTCCTTTTCCGTGGGTGTCGTAAGGGGCGACTAAGGGAGAACGAGGAATGGCTAGCAGCGTCCCTCTTTAAAAGCCTAACCGCGGTTGCCAACCCGCCTGCCAAGCGTGGCAACTAGCAAAACTCCCTTTATGGGGAGGGCTTATATTCAGCAGTGGACAGATTACGGATGAATTAATAATAAATGTAGGATAGATTAAGGAACCAAATGTATTTTGCTCTGCAAATTATAAACACGATTGCCCTGCCAAAATTTTAAGGATTCTGTTAGTAGTTTATTTATTTATTTATCTTATATGAAAAAAAATGCTTGTAATACGCTTTTTTTACACCTTAAAACACATATGATTTTTTTATACTACTATGGAAGCAGACAAGCATACGATCCGCCTGATGGTATAACAGTAACTTATTGACGCCTGTAACTTACTATGAGCAGTACCATGGACATAACAGAGTATACTGTTTCACCCATGATACCCCCCATGTGTTGCCATTCCTGAGGACTCAGGTGTTATTCCTCTGTACCCTGTAAATTCACTGCCATATCCCATCCTTTATACCGAAACACAGCCATGCAAACAACTGCTTCACGGTAGAAACATGAATGGGACAGAGGTGTCTAAGCAAACGACTTTTGTACAAAGTCTCCCTCTGGTGAGTGGAATATTAAGTTGAGCAAACCGTAAAGCATTAATAAAAACCGCATTTAAATCAGTTAAGCCATTTCTGAGATTAACGTGCACAAACGTACAGACAGACATACAGACAGACAAAAATTCTAAAAATCATTATTTTGGGTTCTATTGCGTTCATAAAGCCCCTACAATAGTTTTTCTTATATATCATCCATGTACAGACAGCGAGCAGTTACGATTTTATTATATGTATTGATTTATACATTTTAAGACTGTTATTTTCATAATACTGAGTTGAATGCATTTACAGAAGTCTTTGGTGTCAAAAGAAACCCGATATTCGATGTCACAAAGTGGCCAGATTTTAAGGGTTTCACGTTTCAAAGATAACTTGGTAATGTTTTTGTTTTATTTTTAGGGGCATTTATCAGTTGTTAGTATGGTGTTGAGGTAAATGGAAGCCTTATCTTCGTTTCGTTATTATTTTTACATTATATAATATAAATATAATTTTTTGTTGAAACAAATACAAGAGTAAAAATAATATGAAAAGTCTAAGCATGCTGAAGTGCCAATGGGCTCGTCACATAGCTCGAAACCGACAACTGATGGGAAGAAAGGTTCTTGAGTGGCGACCGCGTACGGGTAAACGCAGTGTAGGACGACCCCCCCTAGATGGAGTGACGACCTGAAATGCATTGCAGGGAATCAGTGGATGCAGGTGGCTAAGGACCGTTCTTTATGGCAGTCTATGGGGGAGGCTTATGTCCAGCAGTGGACCGATAATGGCTGGAATGATGATGATTAGTTGAAATACCATACTTGTAAAATTGAAATTTATAATATACTAGTTGATGCCCGCGACTTTGCCCCTGTAGTGTTTTTTATTCCTGTTTAGTATATATCGATGTATTATATGTACCTATGTGTTTATTATGTCAGGGAATACTGGACCAAAATTAACAAATGACGTGTCGTTCTCACTTTTTGCCTTAAGTCACAATGACTTTACTTAAAAGTAGGTTTTATACTAAGCTGTTTAAATTACTATAGTTTTTTAACTATTCCACGGGAACTCTTTAGTTTTCCGTGATTTACTTTTATTGCCCTATCTCAAACTTAGGTCTAACTACAGCCCGGAATCATGTCGTGGTCACGACAGTTTGATTCATTTTTTTATCGCGTTAAATCCCAATTGTTTGGGGGGAAAGGATTGTTAATAATGGGTAATATCAGTTCGACCTCCACGCGGTTCCCCCTGGAAACTATCGTGACTTGAATTCGTCACGATGGGCTAACTGACCTGCCTTTTCATCCTCACCTATCATCCCTCACTGGTGCAGCGCCAGCGTATACCGATAGCGCAGGCGCAGGCAGCGAGGTTACCATGCCATTTTCACCCATTAAAAAAAAACACAATTGTATATTTAAAATAAGATATGGTATGTTGGTTTTATTATCTCTCAGCAATCGCCACATCGACAGTTCGCGCCCATTAATATCTCAGTGCAATAATTCATGCGCCTGCGCACCGCGCAAACATCGCCTCCAATACGTTACCTCCATTTATGATCTGTACAAGTGGATGCAATTATAAATGTACATATTTTTTGTATTCGTACAATGTACAGTGCGTTACATAAATAGGTACCAACCAAAAATAGTATTTTGATTTGTTTGTTCAATAAATAAGATACTTTTAGTATATTGGAATAGAGGCGAATTTGGCTTTTCAACCGGCTTCAAAAAGAAGGAGGTTCGTAATTCGATTGTATTTTTTTTATGTTTGTTACTTCATAACTCAGTCAGGTGGAAACCGATTTGGAGAATTCTTTATTTATCTGAAATTAATTAATAAATAAATAAGTAAAAATTAATAAATTTATTTATTTACAATTTATTCCCATAGAATTTTATCAAAATCGACCTTTATTTAGGTTAAAATTGTAACCATTTTTCGCGTAATGTTTCTTTGAGGAAAATATTTCAGTTTCGTTTTTACAAACTAATGTATGAACATACGGGTTAAAATAATTTAACCCGTATACTATAATCTAGTGTTGATATTTAAACATTTAAACATTTACCTGCACGAAAATGAAAAACAAATAAAGATATCTGTCATGACAAATTTAATCTTCATGAAATTCTTTTGATTTTTTTTTAAATGTGTGATAATGGAATGGTAACCCCGCCCGCGCTATCGGTATACACCGGCGAAACACCAGCGAGGGATGATAGGTGACGATGAAAGCAAGTCAGTTAGCCCATCGTGACGAATTCCACTAGAATTAACCACGATAATTTCCAGGAGGAACCGTGTGGAGGTCGACCTGATAGGGTATATTGCTAGCAATGAGACGTGGTAGTCCGCATTACTAATTTCCTCCTACTTACCTACTAGTCATTGTTTTAGATATATCTCTAATCAAATGCCAGTTCTTCGAGTGTCTCGACGATCCTGGGCGTGATCCTGAGGAGGGGCCACTGTATTGCTAGCAATAGGTCAGTTTTTAGATGTATGTTCCAAATTGCGATGTACAATTGACAGAATTTGGGGAGAAAGGGATTGTTAGTAATGGGGGTCTTATTACTAACAATCCCTTTCCCCCAAATTCTGTCAATTGTATATTGCAATTTGGATGTAACATGACACAACCCAAATATCTTTTTACGTATACATATTACATCTGACCGTTTTTTTTACATGAAAAAAAAAAAGAAAAAAATATAGAAATTTCTTCCAGATAAGTTATTTAACGTCATTAAAATCACGCCTCTCCTAATGTATCTGGATAAAATGTTCAAATAACATCAGTGAGATATTAAAAAATTTCAAAGTGGGCAGAATTTTTCAATAACGCAACCAATGTTCATATTTTATTAAAATTTCTAAAACAATTCACAATTAATAAATATCAATTCAAACGAGTTGAGAACCTTCGAAGAAGTTATACCAGAGAGAAACTTTGTAATAAAGTCGTTTGCTTGGGCACCTCTGTCCCATTCGTGTTTCTATCGTGAAGCAGTTGTTTGCATGGCTGTGTTTCGGTTTGAAGGGTGGGATATGGCAGTGAATTTACAAGGTAGAGAGGAATAACACCCGAGTCTTCAGGAACGACAACGCATGATGGTATCATGGGTGAAACAATATACTCTGTTATGTCCATGGTACTGCTCATGTCTATAGGCAACGATTACCAATTTTCATCAAGTGGGCAGTCAGCTTGTTTGCCATTTTAAGTGGCATAAAAAAAAATAAAGATCGTTATGAAAAAATGCATCCGACTGTACAAGATAAATATCATTTATTGCATTTGTTTATATCTTCACTCTCCGTTTATGATAACAACTTTATTGCATTCCACCAGTGCCAATTAAAAGGAGATCAAGTTACTGGAGCGTTTAAGTTTAAAATCCAATGGAGGTGTATTTAAAATATCTTTATCCTTTATTGCTTGCTATTCCTTGTTCGCAAAACGATTTAGTGGCCACGCCCTTCGCTTTAAGCACTACCATAACATCCAGCCTGGTATGTATTTCTTGTGACTTTATATAACTCGCCTATAATTTTTTTTTTTTTTTTTTTTTTGATGGGTGCAAATGGTATGTTAACACCGCCTGCGCTAACGGGATACGCTGGCGAGCACCAGTGAAGGGTGATAGATGAGAATGAAAACAGGCCAGTTAGCCCATCATGATGAATTCATCAGGAATTAACCATGATAGTTTCCAGGGAGAACCGCGAAGAAGTCGACCTAGTTGAGTATATTGCTAGCAATGGGATTCTCAGCCTCCATTACTAACAATCCCTTTCCCCCCACTCGCCTATAATTGGGCATTTCATTTAGATGCTGTTCTAGTCGGCTGGCTCACATCTGAGTGAATTGTTTTAATTAAATGTTTACTTAATTTGCTTTTCTTTTTTAATAGCATAGTTTGTAAGGAAATTGTTACTAACAAAATGGACCAAATTGTAGTCTGAATAATAAAGTATATTATTATACATTTCATATTATATTAACGACCCGCCCTGGCAGCGCACCTCTTCAATTATACATTTATATATATATATATATATATATATATACGAGTACATATATCCCTCTTAAAACAACACTAAAAGTCAAACTGCGGTTGCCAATCCACTAGTCAAGCGTGGCAACTACTGGCAACCCCCCCTCCCCCCTTATGGGGAAGGTTACATTCAGCAGTCTGCTGGTCAGTTAACGGCTGACACAAGAAGGTATTAAATAAAGGATATCTCTTATTATTTCCTCCTTTATTTGGATGATCATCAATTCATTCTTCCTCTGAATCCTCTTCAAGTGTTGAAGAGGACTCGTCCGAGCTGCTGGAGGATTCAGTCGCGTTGTACCCCCAGACTTCCACTTGAAACTTGTATAGAAATTTGAATGTAACAGTGGGTATTCGTACCTGGAAGACGTTATATTAATATACATAATAAAAATAAGCATACGACCCGCCTGCTGATAATATTATCACCGCTAAGCATGTAATACTAAATATCGTCATAGTCGTAGAATACTGACGGATCTTTATATGTAATCTTTGTCAGATCTGTCAGTATTCTACGACTATGACGATATGTTCCTTTAATATTTTTTAAGATTTTATTTATATATATTTGTTACAAGTTATAATAATAGTTTGCAAACAGAAATGAGCATGGCATTAAAAAGTAGACAATACAAAAATTTATCAATACGCAGCTTGCCAATCTTACATTGTAAATATCATTTAGCAGTATAAAGTACCTCTGTCCCATTCATGTTTCAACCGTGAAGCAGTTGTGTTTGCATAGCTGTGTTTCGGTTTGAAGGGTGGGATATGGCGTGAATTTACTGGGTATAGAGGAATAACACCTGAGTCCTCCGGAATGGCAACGCATGGGGGGTATATCATGGGCGAAACAGTATACTCTGTTATGTCCATGGTACTGCTCATGTCTATAAGAGACGGTTACCATTTTCTATCAGGTGGGCCGTCAGCTTGTTTTGCCATTCTAAGTTGTATAAAAAAAAAGTAAGAAGTAAATGTTATAACGCTTTTATAGATTACATTACTACATTACATTACTGTTACAAAATTTTGTTCTAATATGTACGAGTACAATATACTTTATTTGCGTGATTGAATCCGAAATAAAGATATCCAAGCCAATATAGATGCCAATAGCAAATGGGCAGGCAATGAGCAGGTCACATAACTCGAAGAAATGACAACCTATGAAGAAGAAAAGTTCTTGAGTGGCGACCTCGTACGAGCAAATACGTAGGACGACCGCCCATTCGATAGAGTGACGACCTTAAATGCATTGCAGGAAGTCAGTGGATGCAGGTGGCTCAGGGTCGTTCTTTATGGCCGTCTATGGGGGAGATCTATGATCAACAGTGGAGCTGAGATGACGATGATGGTACTTATGCGTGATCACATCTACAAATCAAGATACCTTAACAACTGGTGTATTCAACTCCCATACTTTTGGTTGGCCCAGTTGGTATGGCATACCCACTTTTACGCAAATAATAAGACTCTCGTGAGTTGAGGCCACCTGGAACAATGGTTTTTTTTTTATTGTAGACCTAAATATAATATACAAGTGTATGTATGTATGTATATGTATGTCTATACATTTATATATGTATGTGTATGTATATATATGTATATGACTATGCTGTCATAGATATTTATTTTTACAGATCTATTTTTTTTAACACGCCACTAACCTATTTATGCTTTAATTATTTCTACCCAAAGGTTGTCTGGAAGAGATTGCTTAGCAATAAGACCGCCTTTTGTACTACTCTATACGTATTGAAAATTGTTCAACAAATTCTGTTATGTTGGTGCAATAAAGTGTTAAATAAGTAATTAAATAAAATAAAAATAAATAGATGATTTATTATTTTGTTACTAAACAAAATAATAAAATAGTGTGCCCACAAAAAAAGACTTCGATTTTAAAAAAATCCTATGCGACCAATTTATAAGTATATCCTTTTAAATTAAAAAACAATTTACCAAATCGGTTTAGAACTGACGGAGTTATTGGGTAACAAACATAAAAATAGAAACCGAATTGAGAGCCTTGTTTTTATGGCAAGTAAGCTGACGATCAACCTGATGGAAAGTGCTAACCGTCACCTATAGAAATGAACGGTACCATCGACATCATAGAATATACAAAATTTTTTTTTACAACACAGGGGGCAAACGAGCATGTGGCTCACCTGATGGTAAGTGACTACCGCCGCCCATGATCACCCACAACACTAACGGCATTACAGGTGTGCTGCCGGCCTTTTAAAAAGGAATATGCTCTTTTCTTGAAGGTTATGAGTCTACATCGTAGAATCTTACCTATGGTTCCTCTCGTGCTAATTTAAAGTAATTCTGTTTATATAATTCAGTTATAAATTAACCTATTTAATAATCAAATTATTGAATCTTACTAATATAAAAAAAAAATTGTAACAAAACGTCGTCTGTACATAGGAGATATTAAAAAAAAATATGATACAATATTAGCGTCAGGGGTGTACTTCTCTAGAAATCTGTCCGATTCTAGAATAAGGGCATACGGGTATGCGACTCCGGCCTTCCGAGCCTCTGCAGTGTCCCAGTCTTTTCCGCAACTGCAGTGCCCCCCTCCCCTTTCCATTCCCACATAAATGTCTTATTCCCCTCATTCACCAATTTCCTTTACGCTTTTCCAACGTTCCCTTCCTTTTTTCCTCAATCCTTTCCTCTATACCGTAGGTGGCGGAAATCACCAACAAATGCATTCCCAAAGAGGGTTGACGTCAGGCACGTGGCCGATCGTAAAACTATAAGCCAAATCTTTTTGTAATATGGATAAAATCATATTACGCCGACCCCAAATGATTGATATAAAGGTAGGAAAATAGTCTAATAAAGTAGTCTAATTACGTGTTTATAATTGCTTTATTTTTCCTCTATTCAATAACGCACCGCCTACTTATTTCTCTGTTCGCCCAATAGTCGACTGATAGAGAACACCGTCCGGTATTAAGTCCGTCAAATGTACATAGAATTTTACTGTGCATCAAAATTTAAATAAATAAATACGAGGCATTTTAATAAGAACAATAAAAAACAAAACAATAGTTTTTGGAAAAATTTCCTGACTAATATTTAAATGTTTGTTCTGGTATCACGCAAAACCTACTAAACCAAATTGGATGCGGTTACCACAAATATGTTCTTGAAGATCTAACTTAAAAACGGCTGTATGTTTTTTCTTATGTTCTTCCAGGGAGTATCCCCTGGAAACCATTGTGACTAATATTTATTGCATTCTTCACAATAGGTCAGTAGACCTGCTGTCATGCTCTCCTATCATCCCTCACTGGTGCCCCACCAGTGTATACCGATAGCGCAGGCAGAGTTACCATTTTATGATCATCCATTAAAAAAAAAACACCATTTACCTCCTATACACGTTATTTTACTCTGTATGAACCATTATTTGTTAGTGTAACAATATTTGCTAAATAAACTATTATTTATTAATTTATTTATAAAGAGTTTTTTTAATAATTAATAATTTATAAACTGACCTCTAGATAGTAACTGAGATAAGTCAATGTCGTAGGTTTCACTTGGAAAACCTCGTGGTAGAATTTGAACATGTCCTCTGCTGCTTCCCCTCTGTCGAAGCACCTTCGGCCACCCATCCACCAGTGGCCGTTCCACTCGTGGCCAATCAGATCGTAGAAGGAAGCTCGAGGCATCACGAAGCCTTAAAGAAATCGACGCAACATAAATAAAATTGTGTTCCCCAAAATAAACCGTTCATTTGTGACAAACCAACTATTTTATGCCTAAATGATCGCGTACAACGCGGTTTCAGAGATGTTTTCTCCCACGAACACACAGGTTATGGAATGAGCTCCCTGCCGAGGTTTTCCCAAGATACTACAGCATGGGGTCCTTCAAAAGGGGGTAAAGAGGTTTCTTCAAGGTCGGCAACGCGTACGTACTACCTCTGGTATTGCAGGCGTTCATAGGCTACGGTAACAGCTTACCATCAGGTGTGCCGTACGCTTGTTTGCCACCTCAGTGGTATAAAAAAAGAATTTGATTAAAAAACTAATCCACAGCAATTTTATTAAAATTTTGATGGGATTAATTTGTGAATATGTATATTCTTACAGATTACAGAACCTTCCCGAATTGGTTTTCAATCCACAGAATTGTGAGGTAACAAACAAAAATAGTATACAATCGAACCTCCTTATTTTTGAAGTCGGTCAAAAATTACAAGTGAATATGCATCATCGTATCAGCCTTCAACTGTCTACTGCTAAATATTGACTTTCCCTTTGGGAGTTTGCCAGTAATATTAGGCTATAAGAGGGACGCTGCTGCCCATCCATCGCCCCCTTTTACGACACCTACGGTAAAAGAAGGGGTGACCTATTCTATACCGGGACAACACGGCCATACTTTACAAAAAAAAAGGAGAACAGTGATTTCAATTATTTAAAAACACATTATTTATTTATTTATTTATTTATATAATACACATTTTATGGGCAACTCTTTCTCAATACAAGAGAGCCCTTCAATTACCTCTTTCAAGAAAATGTTGAAGTTACATTTTCTTTCGTTTGAGTCATAATCTTAATTTATTTATTTTTATAATTGAACTGTCAAACCTTAAAATCATTTATTTAAATTTCTATTGTAGATAGTATATTCATTTATTTTAACATCTATTGTATAAGTAGGTAGGTATATATTTATTTATAGTATATGTATTTATGTAATATTTTATTATGTATCTTAATATTTTATTTAACTATATATTTGTTTATGTCTGCCCGCTAACAACATGTTTTCTAACTGCATTGGGTTGACTGGAAGAGATCTCTGTCAGAGATAAGTCCACCCTTGCTCACAATATTTATAAATGCATTAACAATGTAATTTACAAGTGCAATAAAGAATATATATATTTACCAACTAAAACTTTGTCAAAAAGAAATCAACTACCAGATACCTGAATATGTAATTATTCAGTATATGGAAGAATTTTATATTGTAATGTAAAATTATAGTAAACAGTAAAGCCTACGGGCACCGTTTGGGAATAGATGCAACCGTATAATAAATCCATTATTTAAATTTACCAGAGAGAGACTTTGTACAAAAGTATAAGTCGCTTGAGTACTTCTGTACTCATTCGTGTTTTTGCCGTGAAGCAGTTGTGTTTACATGGCTGTGTTTCAAATTAAAGGAAGGGATTTGGCAATGTAATTACAGTGTACAGAAACATAACATCTTAGTCCTCAGGAATGACAACGTATGGGGGGGTATCATGGGTGACACAAAGTACTCTGGGTTAAACCCATGGTACTGTTCATACCTATAGGCGACGGTCACCACTTCACATCAAGTGGACTGTCAGCTTGTTTCCTATTCTTATAGCATAAAAAAGGTTGCTTACCAAACGGATCATCTTTAGCGAATGCTCCCACTGCCTTCCCAGTGATGGCAGCAGTAATCCAAGGTACGTACGGATAGAGAACAATGTGACGGGGCGGAGGCGGTGGCCGCCGAGTGCGGAGCGGATCAGGGCATGGTGATCCACCTGCACCGATAGGTTTCAACGAGGGTAACATTAAGCGGCTTAAAAGAACTATTAGTAATGAGAAGGTATTTTAATGTATGAAAAACGCATGGTAACTCCGCCTGCGCCATCAGTATACACGGTGAGGCACTAATCAGAAATGATAGATGAGAATGAAAGGAGGTCAGTCGGTAGCAAATTTGACAAGAATTAACCACGAATTAGTAGGTTAGTTAGGCTCAGTTAATACAGTAGAAAACTAGGAGGACTAGGAGGTACTCTGACTCTCGACACACTGACCCAAGACACTCAACACTGACACTCGACATTTGTCAACCGACATCCGACACTCGACACTTGGACGCCGAGCAATCTGAAACTGGACACTCGGACACTGGACACTGACCTTGGACACTCCGACACTCGATACTATGTCTCTCAACATACTGACACTGAACACTCCGACACTCAAAACTCTGAATCTCGACCCTGTGACACTGGACACTCAGACACTGGACACTGTCTCTCGACACTCTGACACTGAACACTCGGACCCTGGACACTCCGGCACTCGAAACTCTGTCACTCGACACTTTGACACTGGGCACTCGGGCACTGGACACTCCGACACTGAAACTCTGACACTGGACACTCGAGCCCTGGACACTCCGACTCACGAAACTTTGACTTTCGGCGCTCTGACACTGGACACTCGGACACTGGACACTCCGACACTGGACACTCCGACACTGGACACTCCGACACTGGACACTCCGACACTGGACACTCCGACACTGGACACTCTGACACTCAAAACTCTGAATCTCGACACTCTGACACTGGACACTGGACACTCGGACTCTGGACACTCCGACACTGGACACTTTGACACTCGAAACTCTGAATATTGACACTCTGACACTGGACACACTGACACTCGTAACTCTGAATCTCGACACTGGACACTAGGACACTAGACACTCTGACACTGGACACTCCGACACTGGACACTCCGACACTGGACACTCCGACACTGGACACTCCGACACTGGACACTCCGACACTGGACACTCCGACACTGGACACTCTGACACTGGACACTCTGACACTGGACACTCCGACACTGGACACTCCGACACACGAAACTCTGACTCTCGACACTCTGACACTGGACACTTGGACACTGGACACTGGACACTCCGACACTCGAAACTCTGAGTATCGATACTAACATTGGACACTCGAATACTGGACACTCGAGCCCTGGACACCCCGACACTCGAAACTCTGAATCTTGACGCTCTGACACTGGACACTCTGACACTAGACACTCGAGCCCTGGACACTCCGACATTCGAAACTCTGACTCTCGACGCTCTGACACTGGACACTCGGGCACTAGGCACTCTGATTCTCGATACTCTGACACTGGACAATCTGACACTGGACATTCTGCCTCTCGACACTCCGACACTGGACACTCCGACACTGGACACTCCGACACTTGAAACTCTGACTCTCGACACTCTGATACTGGACACTCGGACAGTGGACACTCCGACACTATACACTCTGATACTAGACACTCCGACACTGGGCACTCCGACACTCGAATCTCTGTATCTTGACACTTTGACACTCGAAACTCTGACTCCCGGTGACGCTCTGACACTGGACACTCAAACACTAAAATCTCTGACACGCGACACTCAACACTATGACACATTCGACATCCGACACTCGACACTCCAACAGGAACACTCGACACTCGGACACGCCACACCTGGATACTCCACACCGAAACACGAGACTGGGACACTCAGATGCTCGAATACCAGAACCTCTTACACTGGACACTCGTATTGTCCAATCTTAAAAATTAATGTACATACCTTGTGAGATTGTTACAATGGACCAGTGGCCGGTATGCTCGTGCACCAAGCTAGGAGCCCCCGAGTGAAAGCCGCACCCCGTGGAACATGCGATGCGATTCTTGCCTAAGTTTGATGTGTTCTATCGATCATTAAATGCTATATTAGTATCATACCTATATCTGGAAAAATATAATTATTTATTTATATGTTTTATTTTTATTTAATATTGCAAGGAGTCAATGGTTGCAGGTGACACAAGAACGTCCCTTATGGCAGTCTAAAATGACGATGATGCTTTATTTTGTTATATTATGAAATCTAAATATATATATATATATATATATATATATATATATATATATATATATATATATATATATATATATATATATATATATATATATATATTATGTGATTTTTGTCTGTAATGGATAAACTCAAACATACTTGATCGATTTTAAAAATAATTTATTTTTAAAAAGCTATTTCATCAGTGAATAACATGGGCATTTTATTTTTAGAATGAAATGTGCAAACCGGGACGGATGGCTGGATATTTGTAGAATTATACTCATATATATTGTAAGTGTAAGAGTGTACACACACATACAATAAACGCAGTGTAGGGCGACCTCCATCTAGATGGAGCGACTAACTCAAACGCACTGCAGCGAATTAGTGTATGCAGATGGCTCAGCCACCATTCACCAACTCAGTCACCATTCCTTATAGCAGTCTATGTTCAGCAGTGAAGGCAGATAATGGCTGAGATCATGATGAAATGTAATAAACTATGTTTTTTTAGAACCGAAATATGATAAAATAAAAAACTCTATAACTCACAATTTTCTTTTTGTCTATAAAACGATATTAGCCAATATATCTAACTCTGGTGTAATACTGTTCATATTTTATAATTAATTTTAATTATAAAGGTATAATAATTTACAAAAATATAGTATTAAATAACTTTAATTTAAGTTTAGCTTATTTAGTCAGCTGTTTATTTTGAAAGAAAGTCGCTTATCAACAAAAAGAAATAAATAAGGCATTATAACTGTGTAAGTCTCACCACTGGATTGTCGTATAAATAGCAAAGTTCCCTGGGCAACAAACTAATTTTCACTACATCTTTTTCTTCTTCGACAAAATCTCTTGGTACGTCTGAAACAATCAAATTTTACTCTTTTTTTTTATATTAATGTGTATGTTTGACTATAAGGTATTTATCTGTATGCTTATGTTTATAAAGTTATTGCCTAAAATAAAGAAATTAATATACAAAAATAACCTTAAATTTCCTTTATCTGTATCTTTCCTTTAACAAAATTAGCCTATGGTACAATATAGCTATGACCCCACACTAGGCAAAGCCTGTCTCGTGGAAGTCAAAGCAAGTAATTTTACAGTTATGGTGCGTCAGTTTATTGGAAATAAAATGGAAACGTAACTTACCACTGCTAAAATCAATGTGAAACAGTTTCTCCTTGGTCTGCCTGCCATTTTTTCCTATTAAAAAGTTTTTAAACGGTAAACACGCTGGCAATACGTATTCTGAAACAATAGATGACAAAGTTTGTGATCCTTATATAATTTATATATTTATTTCTTATTGCAATCCATAATGGGACTGGTAGATATCAAAACAACTTCAATTATGGACCCTGTTGGGTACAACAAGTAAGAAAGAGATGGACAACTTTTTTCTTAAAGATTTTATTTCAGATCGCGTTACTGACTGCTACATGTGTAAGGCTTTTTAAAGCAACCGAACGGATTTTCCTATTCATCTCAATTGCGACTAATAGAGAGTAAGCACAAGCAACCCTTAGCACAGCGTTTCCATTCGAATACATTTTAATTCATAAAAAAAATTATGCAATTTATCACTAAACAATCCATTATAATATTTAAGGTAATAGCGGCCATTTGACGCATGTATTATATTTTCGTTCATTTATTAGTGTATTTTAAAACAATCCTCATTTTAAAAATTTGTCCATCCATCAGCTTATTGTCATTCAATTTCACTTTAAACAACATACATACATACATGTCTGTCACGCCTGTCTCCCATTAGAGTAGGCAGAAACAATGGAAACAAATGTGTAAACTTTAAACAAATGTAAGTCATATGAAAAAACTTACTGGATTTTATAGGAGTGATCATTTTCAATATAGAAATACTCTCCTTCTGCCCAAAATGCTTGTACTCCGGATGTAGAAGGACATCTGATATCGGCATTAAAAGGATCGCAGGGTCGCACTCAGCACCTCTGGCTAGATCCTCTACAGACACCCCACATTCTTCCTCATCCCGTTCATAATCCCCAAACACTATGTTCCCTCTGAAAGACGGTGAAATAGTGTAAATCTAGATAATAGAAGTAGTCATAGATAAAAACTACATGTTCCTCAACAAAGCTTAGCACTGTTTTCAAAAAGTGTGTACCGCATGACTGTAATAATTTTTTTTATACAACTTAAAATGGCAAACAAACTGACGGTCCACCTGATGGAAAGTGGTAACCGTCGCCTATAGACATGAGCAGTACCATGGACATTACAAAATATACTGTTTCGCCCATGATACCCCCCATGCGTTGCCATTCCTGAGGACTCAGGTGTTATTCCTCTGTACCCTGTAAATTCACGCCATATCCCACCCTTCAAACCGAAACACAGTCATGCAAACACATCTGCTTCACGGTTGAAACACGAATGGGGCAGAGGCACCCAAGCAAACGACTTTTGTACAAAGTCTCCCTCTGGTGATATGTGGCCGGTACTCCACAAGTTTCTTAAAAGAGTACTAAGCCATTTTTGTATTTGTAATCTCCGCTTACAGGGCATATCCGTCAGGTATTTGAGCGGCGTCCATGGCAGTGGACAGTGCGAACTGCCGGCTAATGAGAACAACTCTCGGCACCCTGAAGTAGTGAGGTGTACCATTCTTCACTGTAATGTAATTAATACTGGAGTATATTATGTTAACGGACTGGCCACTAATAAAATTATAAGTACTGGCCGGTAACATGCTATTCCATTTAGTCTTTAAATAATTAAATTAAAAAAGAAATGTTTTCATAAAGAATTCTGGCACTTAGTAGTTACATCTCTTATGAAGATTAATATGAAATACATACGAAATAATTTATCTTATAACTTCTGCATCTTTTTAATGCGTAAACACTAATTTTATTTATTAAATGATACGTCTAGATACTTTTTATGCGTAAGTATATAGAATACTGATAAAAAAACGAGGCAACTAATTTGACAATTAGCTGGCAAAAAGTTGACCCGTTTTTGAGGCTTTATTCTTTATCTATATAATCTAAGGGTTGAGCCAAATTTTTGGTCGTATAAATTTTTAAGTTCCATCAAAAGAAACTAAATCAACGTATATTATGTCCCTCACCGTGTATGTACTGCAGCGCTCCCAACCAAGTAAACTGTAAGTCTACCAGTGGCCCCTCCTCAGGATCACGCCCAGGATCGTCGAGACACTCGAAGAACTGGCATTTGATTAGAGATATATCTAAAACAATAACTAGTAGGTAAGTAGGGAGGAGGAGATTGTTAGTAATACGGACTACCACGTCTCATTGCTAGCAATATACCCCGTCAGGTCGACCTCCACGTGGTCACTCTGGAAACCATCGTGCTGAATTCCAGGTGTATTCATCAACGATGCGCTAACTGACCTGCCTTTTCATTCTCACTTATCACTCACTGGTGCCCCACCAGCGTAGCCTTTAGCGCAGACGGGATTTTTTTTTAATGGGCGATCACTCACTAAAAAAAATAGCAGTACGAAGCGTACAAATGGTAGCGAAACTTAACGAAGTAATTCTAATCAACTAAACAGTATTTTTTTTTTTTTTATTATATGTATAATACGCGATGTCTTACTTATAGATGAGTATTAATTATTTTATTCTTTAATCGACTAACCAGCGATATAGACTTACGCAAAATAAAACCAGATGTTGTTATGTTTAATAAAACATACTAAATTAAATTACATTAAACTTAGAATGGCAAACAAGCTGACGGCCCACCTGATGGAAAGTGATAACCGTCGCCTATAGACATGAGCAGTACCATGAACATAACAGAGTATACTGTTTCGCCCATGATACCCCCCATGCGTTGCCATTTCTGAGGACTCAGGTGTAATTCCTCTGTACCCAGTAAATTCACGCCATATCCGACCCTTCAAACCGAAACACAGCCATGTAAACACAACTGCTTCACGGTAGAAATACGAATGGGACAGAGGTACCCAAGCAATCGACTTTTGTACAAAGTCTCCCTCTGGTAAATTCTCTTCTTCTCAGCAGATAACAACATTACGAACAGTAGTAGATTTAAAAAAAATACGATTTAAAAGAGGTTGTAAACAAATCTATTGTAATAAAGATTATTTCTATTCTATTCTATTCTAAAAACAATTGTTTTCTGTGAAATAAACTTTCAATTATACTTACAAACAATAATCACAAGAAATGTTACAATATGAAAAAATCGACTCCACATTTGTACAGTTTTACACAACGCGTAACAAACTAACAGAAATACTGTTTGCTTGTATTGTTGATGTTTAGAAATACCATACATCTTTGATCTTTAGAAATACATATTTACTAACAAGAGATACGAGGCAAAAGGTATACAAACATTAAAATAAAAAATCCGATCGAGGAATGATAACTACAAAATTTTTGAAGATTTTCTGGACGAAATGTTAAATCAATAAAATATGGTTACGTTGCCAGATCTAGATCGATTTTGATGATTGTTTTTTCCATCGATAGGGTTTACTCTCCTATTAGTCTCGTATTAATTTTGTAATGCACATGCCATTTTTTACAATACAGAAATCTGGTTGTTACGAAACCTTTTTTCAAATTTATATTATTCTAAAAAATAGCGAGAGAATACAATGTAATAATAACCATTAAAAAAATCTGTCAAAATTTAGCCAAAGTGCTGTTTAGTTGACTTTAACTGTTTTTCTACATAATCTTTACCATCTACTTCCACCAGAAGGAGACTTTGTACAAAAGTCGTTTGCTTGGGCACCTCTGTCCCATTCGTGTTTCTACCGTGAAGCAGTTGTGTTTGCATGGCTGTGTTTCGATTTGAAAGGTGGAGTATGTCAGTAAATTTACAGGGTATAGAGAAATAACACCTGAATCCTCAGGAATGGCAACGCATGGGAGGTATCACGGGCAAAACAGTAAACTTTGTTATGTCCATGATACTGTTCATGTCTATAGGTGACGGTTACCACTCCAGCTACCAGTTCCATCAGGTGGGCTGTCAGCTTGTTTGCCATTCTAAGTCACATAAAAAAATCCAAGTACAAGTTTTTCTTACAATTTTGAATGATAAATAATTATGAGTAATTTCTTTATAACTTCTATATTTATTTTGTCTTAAAAATTCTGCACATTAAACATAAAAAAATCATTTTATTTATAAAATTTTACGAAACGAGTCAGCTAATTTGACAATTAGCTAACGAAAAGTTGATCCATTTTTGAGGCTCGATGCTCTATCCTAATTATATCCTAATTTAACATAAAGGATAACTTATTACAAAGCCGCATACGATTCGAAATTTAAAATTCAAATACTAAATGTATTTAAATTTTAAATTTCGAATATATTTAAATCAAATTTTTCGAAGAAACATCTTACCGATCATCGATGCCTTTTACTTATTTTAAGAGATTGAAATTGCTGTTTTTTTTTTTTGCGGAGTAAACTCTGCTTATTTGTATTCCGTGGCAGTGTGTCGGCATACCGTGATCACACGTCGATTATAACTGTGCGCAGGCGCGGTGCACGCATCCGAATGCAATAAAATCGCTGACATTGGCGCCGTCACTTCAGATCTGCATTGCGACCTGGACTTATGACAAGCGAGAATAAGTTGGATTGGAGGCGATGTCTCAGTTAACTTCGCATTTTAAACCAACTTCAAAAAAGAGTAATGAAAAAAGATCTGCCTGTTAGGTGCATTTTTAACCGACTTCAAAATGGAGATTCTCAATTCGGTTGTATATTTATTTTAATGTTTATAACTTTATAACTCCATCAGTTGTGAACCGATTTGGAAATTTTTTTTATTCTCTGAAAGGAATTACAGATTAGATTCATAGGAATTTTATTAAAATCGGTTGAGTGGTTTAGTTCCTTTATTCTTTATTGTACACAAAATACAATGTTAACCACAATTCATTTGAAACATAATGTACAAAGGCGAGCTTATCTCTAATAAGAGATTTCTTCCAGCAAACCTTTTCATGTAAATTGTAAGTTAGTTTGTAAATTAAAACAATTGGTTTGGTCACAATTAAATGTGGTGGTTTCGTGAGATTTTTTTTATACAACTTAGAATGGCAAACAAGCTGACGGCCCACCTAATGGAAAGTGGTAACCGTCGCCTATAAACATGAGCAGTACCATTGACGCAACAGAGTACACTGTTTCGCCCATGATACCCCCTATGCGTTGCCATTCCTGAGGACCCATATGTTATTCCTCTGTACCCTGTAAATTAACGCCACCACCATTGTATACCACCCTTCAAACTGAAACACAGCTATGCAAACACAACTGCTTCACGGTAGAAACACGAATGGGACAGAGGTACCCAAGCAATCGACTTTTGTACAAAGTCTCCCTCTGGTTTACATACATTTAAATACAATGTTTTAATTATTTTTACTAAATTTGTTCAATCAATCAACATATTTTATTTTATACGTCGATTCCTTTAAAATTACCGATCTGATATTCATAAAATGTTTATTAGAATGTTATTTAATATTATTATTATTATTATATATAATTTTTTTTTTATAAATCGTCTAAAGAGATTAAGTGACACGATGAGAGAAGAATGTGATAATGATGACAAAAAATACGAAATTATTTTTAAATATTACAATAAATTCATATTTTATTACTGAATTTAAACTTCGAATTTTTCGAAGTTTCTTCTTCAAATTTTAAACTTCGAATAATGAACTTCGAAAGTGTCTATTTTTTTTTAATAGGCATATTCTATCATTCAAACTTCGTTGTGGCAATTAATAAATAATAATCCAAAAAGGTGCGACCATTCTAAAGTGTTGAGATTAGAGAAATATATTTTTTAAATTTTGAAATAGGAACTCCAATCCAGAATCTTCCTATTTCACAACTAAGAATTCAACATTCAAACGCATGCATGCAACAATTCATTACGACGATTTCGTATGCAAGCGCTATGTGCCGATATGGTGCATTCAAATTGCCGGCAAATTGTCCACATCCTGAGTGCAATGGTGTCACGTAATAGCATGGTAAGAAGTGTCAATTTGAATTAGGTTTTATAATTTTGCACAGGTTTTTTGGGTTCGATTCTGTTTTAAAAAAGGAATAATAAGCGATTTTAAAAAGAAAATTATAATGCGGTAACATTTAGTATTTATTTAAATTCACATTTTTTATATGCAACTTAGAATGGCAAACAAGCTGAACCTGATAGAAAGTGGTAACCATCGCCTGTACACATAACCAGTACCATGGACATAACAGAGTATACTGTTTCGCCCATGATACCCCCAATGCGTTGCCATTCCTGAGCATTCAGGTGTTATTCCTCTGTACCCTATAAATTCACGCCGTATCCCACCCTTCAAACTGAAACACAGCCATGCAAACACAACTGCTTTACGATTGAAACACAAATGGGACAGAGGTACCCAAGCAAACGACTTTTGTACAATGTCTCCCTCTGGTAATGTGTGATATGTGTGTAATATGTTGTCTTAAATTGCTCGACCGAGACTCGAACCCGGGACTTCATTACGCAGACTAACGTGTGCCCTATTATGGAAGGTCGACGCTATATCAAATAGACTGTGAAATTTGAAACAATTTAAAATGCGTATTTTACAAACATTACGTGAGACGATTTGAAAACTATGTAGGGGTATCAGCATAGTTATTTAGTTCAATACTAAATCACATGTCATTATGACGTATGCATGCATTTGCATACAAAACGATAATTATGCACCCGCTATAAAAAGTTATGTAAGTTTTCGCAAAAATCAGTTTGTTTCAGGAAAAATGTTGGCACTACGGTCTCTTGTGTTTTTATTTGTTCTACCGTTTTTAGGTAAGTTTTTTGTTAATGAATACTAATTGGGGGGAAAGGGATTGTTAGTAATAGAGACTGAGAATCCCATTGCTAGCAATATACCCAACCTGGTCGATCTCCTCGCGGTTCACCCTGGAAACTATCATTATTAATTCCCGATGAATTCATCATGATGGGCTAACTGGCCTGTTTTCATTCTCATCTATCACCCTTCACTGGTGCCCCGCCAGCGTATCCCGTTAGCGCAGGCGGGGTTACCATACCATTTTCAACCATCAAAAAAAAAAACCTATAATTATTAAAAATGATTCAGTGTGTCATTGTTATCGGCTGCATAACTGACGAAAATAAGTAAAAAATTAGTTATTAAATAAAAAATACTCATACATGTACCGTGTCCTTACATATTACATATTGAGTACTTTATATTATTCTCAATTTCGTGTATAATATAGTATATATCATATATGTGTAAGTATATTTGTTATTCATATATATTTATTCGTTTATATATGTAATTTTAGTATGTATGTATATCAATAATTAGTAGTACCGCATTCGTGTATTCTGACACTTCCCTATGGTTGACTGGGAGAGAATGCTTTTAGCATTAAGTCCGCCATGTACACATACATGTACTAATGTACTAATATTACAATCCAGTACATTATAAATTATGACCGTATAACTTAGCATTAATATTATATCGGAATACATTGTCAGTAAAAAGATTGTCAGTCGTATCTACCTAATGACGTCACGAATCACGACCTATTTTATGATATACTGCGGCAAGAAATGAATAATTTCGAAAAATATTCATAAGTCAGGATGGCCGAGCGGTCCAAGGCGCTGCGTTCAGGTCGCAGTCCAGTTCTCTGGGCGAGGGTTCGAATCCCTCTTCTGACATATTTTTTGTTTTCATTTTAAGTTTTATTAACTTATTATAAACAAAAAGTAATATTTTTCTTTTTCGTATAATTTTTATAATTGCATTTTTTATACACCTTAGTTTTTAAACTCTACATATAGTAAGATATATAAATATTTATATGATGCAAGTATGTATATATACTCTTTATATACTAAGCTTTCTAGTAAACAGGAGCATATGTCTTGTTTAATTTAGTAATTCATAAATAAAATAATTCTATTTGTTCTCTTTTAACCAAAGGTTGTCTGTGAGAGATTGCCCTAGCATTAACAGCGCCTTTTGTACCTTTTTATACATATTTTAATCTGTACTTTAAACTGCTGTATTTTTACTTGAATTTTTTATATATCATTGTTTATTTTTATATTTTTGATGCAATAAAGAGTTAAATATATAAATAAATAAACAAAATACAGTAATTTTCCTTATTAAATCAATACAAAAACTGATAGAAAACGCCATATGGCATTAAGCTCGCCATTTGTAAAAAAATATATTGAACATACACATACATACATATCAGTCACGCCTGTCTCTCAATAGGGTAGGCAGAAACAATGGAACGCCAAATGTCATTGAGCATTCATCAATCTTTTCACACACGCTCGCCGGTTACGAGTACTTTTAATTTGGCCCTTCTTCAGCACGTCGCCTATTTGGTCGACATACACATTTTGTTTAAAAATTGTCACAATATTGTACACCGCTCTACTCGCTGACGTTGATGCTCCTTTCCACTTTGAGCGTCGCTGGAAGAGAACTCTTTTAGAGTTAAGCTCGCCTTTGTACATTTGATTACCTCTGACATATTTGTATATACCATTAGTGTGTACAATAAAGTATTAAATAAATAAATAAATATATTGAATAATACAAATTAAAAATATACACCCGCCATAAACTAAAGTTTCATCCCAACCATCTGAACGAGTGGCGGTCTTCCACCGTGCGTTTTTCAAGGCACTTTCTCCCGCGCACAACCATTCTTTGGAATCAACTTCCAGCAGCAGTATTTCCGAACCGATACGACATTATAACCTTCAAGAAAAGAGCATTTTCTTTTTTTTTAAAAGGCCGGCAGCACACCTGCAATGCCGTTGGTGTTGTGGGTGATCATGGGCGGCGGTAGTCACTTACCATTGGGTGAGCCGCATGCTCGTTTGCATCCTGTGTTGTAAAAAAATATTGTGATTTAATATATAAGAATGGGGCTGTTTTATCCCATTACTAAAAATCTCTTCCCCTATTAAATTCTATTGCTACAAACTGTACAAAGTCTTATATTTGTTTCAGTGTCAGCAGAATTTTACTCGTCCAAAGGCCAAGATGAATGGGAACGAATCGTGGGGGGTACGAAGGCACCGAACGGCAGCGTTCCCTACCAAGTGTCGCTGAGGTGGTGGGGCGTTTGGCATTTCTGTGGTGCCTCTTTGGTCACCCCGAGGGTCATACTCACCGCAGCCCACTGCGTTCAAAGGTAATACTAAATAGCTATACTTACTAGCTAAACTTAATGTTAACACAATGGCACCAATCACATTTAACAATTTAGTTATAAAATTAAAAACTTGTGTTAAAGATCTTGGCCTTTACATAGACTCATCACTCAGTTGGTCACATCAAGTTGCGGAGGTAAGTCGCTCAGTTGTTGCTACGCTACGCTCCTTATATCGCTTTAAAAACTTTTTGCCTATCGCTACAAAAATTAATCTTGTTCACGCACTTATTATTCCGATTATTGATTATGCTGATGTGTGTTATCCAGATCTTAATGAAGATCTTCTCGATAAGCTGGACCGTCTCCTTAACCAAGCCATACGCTTTATCATCAACCTCCGCAAATTCGATCACATTTCTTTATATCGGTCTCAGCTCAAGTGGCTTTCCATTCGTCAACGCAGAAACGTTAGAACTCTTTGTACTCTCTACACTCTTCTTCAAAACCCCCAGTCTCCTAACTACTTAAGGAGTAAATTCCATTATCTTTTTGAAACTCACGAACATAACCTTCGTTCCAATAATACTCTCCAATTATCTTTCCCCTCTCACCGTACTGGTTACGTTTCAAACTCTTTTCTCCTACATTCTTCACGACTCTGGAACCCGCTTCCTGATGCCATTAAGAGACTACCGACTAAACCGTCTTTCAAAAAAAGCGTTCACGCTCACTTTTTATTTTTATCCGAGCAATAAGTACTTTATATTATTCTCAATTTCGTGTATAATATAGTATATGTCATATATGTGTAAGTATATTTGTTATTTATATATATTTATTCGTTTATATATGTAATTTTAGTATGTATGTATATCAATAATTAGTAGTACCGCATTCGAGTATTCTGACACTTCCCTATGGTTGACTGGGAGAGAATGCTTTTAGCATTAAGTCCGCCATGTACACATATTTGTACTAATGAATAAATAAATAAATAAATAATATTTACTGGAATGCCCAAACAACGACTGTATATATGAAAGTTTCTTCATTTCATTAAAAGTTCTAAATGCTTTAATAGATTTGGATGTATGATTTGTCCTTGGAACCCTTACATTATTCCAAATGACTCTAGCTATAAATTTTCTGAAAATTATAATCTATAAGTAATAGGCGAGAAATATAACTCGCCTATAATTGGCCATTTCATTCAGATGCTGATCTAGTCGGCTGGCTCACGTCTGGGTGAACTGCTTAATTAATTTCAATCAATTTGCTTTTCTTTTTTTTTTTTTTTTACTAACATAGTTTGTAAGAAAATTGTCTTGTTTATCCTCTGTGTTAGAAAAAAAATTAAGGATACATCGCAGATTTCATGCACTTAAATATACTCATCTCGTACATGCACGCCTATTTATTATTTCTATTATTTCGAAGTTTCTTAACTCCTCTATTAAATAAAAGACGATCTATGTAAGATATTTAGTTTCAATTAAACCTATATAAAGGTCTTATAATATAAAACTCAATATTTAATTAAGCATTATAATATAATAAAAAAAATAAGTAAATATTCCTGGTATTTAGTTATTAGGTCGTGCCTGTAGCAATGTTGTTTATTGGAGTATTATAGCTATTAATATTATTCAGGCGCTTAGAAAGATGAATTCTTACTAATATTATAAATATATTAATTTATTATTGCCTTTTTATTGCCTTTCATCCACCAAATTTATTAATAAACACTAAAATAACATCTGCAGATACGAAAATATTATTCGCACAACATTAATAATACTGTTAAAAAAACTATAATGTCAATAAATACTATTAAAAATATAAAGAAATTTCCTTTCGTCAAAATGAAAATTAGGTGCTCCGTATTACTATGTATTTAAAACTTTTCAAAAATATATCACCGTTAACCATCTGTCTAAAACACCGTAGCAAGAATGAATCTTTTTTTTTTTATATATACAACTTAGAATGGCAAACAAGCTGACGGTCCACCTGATGGGAAGTGGTAACCGTCGCCTATAGACATGAGCAGTACCATGGACATAACAAAGTATACTGTTTCACCCATGATACCCCCCATGCGTTGCAATTCCTGAAGATTAAGATGTTATGCCTATGTAGCCTGTAATTTTTTTTAATCAAATTTTTGTTGAGGCTTTAGTACACCGGAGTGACTATGCCAGCCTCATAGGGATTGTCTGAAAGTCAGTCTGTCGGTCCGTCAGGAACACCTTTACCAGCCTGTAAATTTACTGCTATATCGCACCCTTCAAACTGAAACACAGCTATGCAATTAATAAAATGTATATACTTTATCCATTTCAGAGCGAGGCCCATATATTTCAAAGCCGTAGTTGGTACAAACATGCTTCGGGCCGGCGGCAAGGCTTACAGCATTCGGAAAATCGTCTACCATGAGAACTACGATGATGATGTCATCAAGAATGACATAGCAATACTGTTTACTGATGAGGAAATTGAGTTCAGCAGCACAGTTGACGCCATAGAGTTGAATGATGAACCGGTGGAGAAGGGAGAAGAGTTGAAACTTACTGGTTGGGGTACTACATCTGTAAGTGATTTTTTTTAAATATATACCTACATTTGGTTTTACTTGCAATTTCGGCCTGGTGATCGGAATATGTTTCTTGACTAAAATAAATATAGCTTGTAACCTTCTCCATCCCATTTTTACAAAATTTATTAAGTTATTTTCTTATACCATCTTTTATTTTACTACCGTCTTTAATAAATTTTCCTGTATTTTGGTATAAATATGCGTTTTACAAACATCTATACTGCCCATAAAATTGCCCCAAATTTCTTTAAACCCTTACCATTTTTCTTTGAAAATTTTATTTCTCCAAAATTTCAAGAAAAGATAATGTTTTTAATATAAAATACCCAAATCAGCAACGGTTTTTTTTTTAATGGGTGATAATGGAATGGTAACCCCACCCGCGCTATCGGTATACACCGGCGGGGCACCAGTGAAGGATGATAGGTGAGGTCGAAGCAGGTCAGTTAGCCCATCGTGACGAATTCAATAAGAATTGTTTACGATGGTTTTCAGGGAGATCCATGTGGAGGTCGACCTAATAGGGTATATTGCTAACAATAGGGGTGTCAATCTCCATTTCTAACAATCCCTTTCCCCCCAATCAGCAACAGTTAGCTGGTGTACAGTAGCAATGAAATTACAGGGTACGGAAACCAACACCATGGTCCATAGGAATAGTAACGCATGAAGAGTACCAAGAGTATATTCTGTGAGAATGTCCATAATGCTGTTCATGTTATTATGTATATTATGTTATGGCTTTTTTTATACAACTTAGAATGGCAAACAAGCTGACGGCCCACCTGATGGAAAGTGGTAACCATCGCCTATAGACATGAGCAGTACCATGGACATAACAGAGTATACTGTTTCGACCATGATACCTCCCATGCGTTACCATTCCTGAGGACTCAGATGTTATTCCTTTGTACCCTGTAAATTCACGTCATATCCCACCATTCAAATCGAAACACAGCCATGCAAACACACCTACTTCACGGTAGAAACACGAATGGGACAGAGCTACCCAAACAATCGACTTTTGTAAAAAGGCTTTCCATCAGGTGGAATGTCAGCTTATTTACCATTTCCTATTCCAAAAAATCGCTGAATGGTCTCTGTGTAGAATAGGCTACCCCTTCTTTTCGTGGTGTCATAAGAGGACAATAAGGGAATTTAATGGTCAAAGGATAGGCAAAGACGAACTGCGGTTGCCAATCTACCTGCCAAGCATGTACAACGTCAACTACTGGAAAGACCTCCCAATGAGGGGAGGTCTATTCGCGTTCAAGATTTATTATCCAACGAAGATTATTTTACGCCTTTTTTTAACTTCATTACTAATACTGTAGATAAAATTTAACAGTACTGTTTAACTCCTCTTCCCCATCTTATCTTTGTGAACGTTTCGTTCTGCCTACTGCCCGCTAATGCTCCTTTCCACTCAGGGTTCGCTGGAAGAGAACTCTTACAGAGTTAAGCTCCCCTGTTGTACATCTTTATTTTATATATATTACTAGCTGACCCCGTAAACGTTGTTTTACCACTTATTGCAAAATATAAAAATCGCGATTAAAAGACAGGGGTTGATCGTAAAACGATGGAAATTTTTGTGAGTGAAATTTTGTGAATGAAAAGTTGTGTGTATTTTTTAATGTTAAATCATAATAAAATAAAAATGGAAAAATTTGTTAAAAAAATAAAAAAAAATTTTGGGGAGGATCACCCTTATTATTGAGGGGTATGAAAAATAGATGTTGGCCGATTCTCAGACCTACCCAGTATGCACACAAAATTTCATAAAAATCGTTTCGAGTTTGATAACAAACACCGTGACACGAGAATTTTATATATATGTTGTAATTTTTTGTGTATAATAAAAAATAAATAAATAAAAAATTTTTTTATGTTATCAATATTGTTAATTGTTTTTATCTAGTAATTTGTACTTTATTCTCTTTTTTGTAAATATCATTTATGTCTGCGACTGAAGGACTTGTATCCATGGTCATAGATAAATTAAAAAAAAAAGGGAGGTCTATGTCCAGCAATGGTCATTTATGGCATATGATGATGATGATTCCAAAAAAGTTGTATTCAATTTCATTTTTATGTCCAGTACCCAGGGCGACTCCCCAATGATCTCATGCAGTTGGATCTAAAGGCGATCACCTACGAGGAGTGCAAGGAGGCCCACAAGAATATCAACGAAGTATTCGAAACGCAGATATGTGCGTTGACCAAAGCCGGAGAAGGCGCATGTCATGTAAGTGGCCGAGTATTTTTACCGATGAAGATGGAATGGTATTCTCGCCTTTGGCAGTGACATACAAAAGTGGAAACCATTACCTGTACTTGTACCTATGGAGTCATATCTATGTTCATGCGTGATGTACAATAATAAAATTGTTGGTTTACTAAGAAATTTAATAATTGTTAATTAAACACTGCACGTACTAGGTCAATGTATCGCCCCACCAGTTTTGTATTAATTTCTCCTATATTTGTAATTGGGATATAATATCATTTTTACCTCTTAATTTTGTCAGTTATAATCGAGTCATTTTTTTTAATGGGTGATAATGACATGGTATCCCCGCCTGCGCTATCGGTATACACTGGCGGGGCACCAGTGAAGCATGATAGGTGAGGATGAAGTAGGTCAGATAGCCCATCGTGACGAATTCAACAAGAATTGTTCAGGATGGTTTCCTGGGAGAACCACGTGGAGGTCGACCTAATAGAGCATATAATGGCTCGGCATTAGAAATATACATTTTCACAAACCTCGTCGTCTCAATACAACCCGCAACAGTGGGGGGAAGGGGTTGTTAGCAATGGGGAGGTTAGTCTCCATTGCTATCAATATACCTTATCAAGTCGACCTCCACGCGGTTCCCCTTGGAAACTATCGTGACTAATTTATCGTTGAATTCATCACGATGGGCTAACTGGCTTGCCTTTGGTACCCCGCCAGTGTATACCGATAGCGCAGGCGGGGATACCATGCCATTTTCACCCAAGAAAAAGCCCGCAACAGTACCCATAGAACAAGCTCTGCTTAGTTCCGAACTAGAGGGCGCTGTGTTATATTTTCAAGAGAGTTTATTGTCATTATTTGAATTTCAGGGCGACTCCGGTGGACCTTTAGTGCGTGAAGGTCGACAAGTCGGCATAGTATCATGGGGCATACCCTGTGCTAGAGGCAAACCTGATGTATATACTAAGGTAAGTTGCGTACGACACTCCTTAGAGAATGATAATGGAATGGTAACCCCGCCTGCACGGAGGGACTGTTAGTAATGCGGATTACCAGCCCCATTGCCAGCAATGTACCCTGCCAGGTGGTCCTCCACGTGGTCTCCCCTAGAAACCTTCGTGTTGAATTCCAGGTGTATTCATCACGTTAAGCTAATAGATCTGCCTTTTCATCTTCACCTATCATCCCTCCACTAAAAACTCTGCCTGCACTATCGGAATACATTGGCAATGCATCAGTATGGATGGGTGAGGATGAAATCAGGTCAGTTAGCCCATTGTGACGGATTTAAATAGAATTAATCACGTGGAATTCCGACTTGACAGGTAAATTGCCAGCAATGGGGATAAATGTACCCATCACTAATAATCCCTTTCCCCTCTTCACACAACACTAGCGACACGCTCTTGCTTCATACAGTCTATTCACAGACAAATACAGCCCATTTTATTAAAAACAAAAGACTGTTTTAAACCAGGTAACGTCCTTTTTGACAGGTAAAAGAATTTTTAAAAACGGGAATCGGATCTTTCCTCTTTATAATATTAGGTTGAATTCTTTAATTTATATTTTTTTTATACCACTGAGGTGGCAAACAAGCATACGGCCCACCTGATGGTAAGCGGTTACCGTAGCCTATGAACGCCCGCAATACCAGAGGTATTACGCGCGCGTTGCCGACCCTGAAGAAACCTCTTTACCCCCGTTTTGAAGAACCCCATGCTGTAGTCTCTTTATAAAAATATAGTTGAATTTAAAAACCTGTTTGAAGTCAACATTTTTTATATAAACCTAACTTGAGAATAATCCAAATGAAATATAAAAGCTTATCTTTGTCAATTTATCATATTTTTTTTAATATATAATAATTTTATGCAAATATGATTATACACAAATAAAATAAGAGATGGCCGTGTGGTCCCGGCATACATTGGGCTATCATCTCCTTTTCCGTGAGTGTCGTAAGAGGTAACTAAGAGAACTTGATGGTCGAGGTCCCTTTTTAAACATCACCAAAGCCTACCTGCGGTTTCCAGCCCGAATGCTAAACGTGGCAACTACTGGCAATACCCCCATAATAGGGGGAGGCCTATGTTCAGTAGGTAATATCTGATATGATAATGATGGTACAAATAAAAAAAATCTTTGTGGCTTGAATAAGGCGGTAGGCTCTACACGGGAAAATCACATAAATTCTACCTTAAAATCTTTACAATTAGGTTTATTTTCCCTTTCAAGGTGGAATCATTCATGCGTTGGATTGAGAAGACTCTATACGACGACGACGAAGATCACCTCAGGTTCCTGAACAAACGGAAAACAAACAAGCACTAGGATCTAGACGGTTGCTATGCAATTTTGGAATTTAATGTAACTGTATTAGATTGCATTTTGTTATACACGAAGATACCATATACTCAGAATTATATTATTGATAAATCGTTATTTTTTTTTTTAGTTCTAAACCATTCCTAAGTCCTTCTAGCCAAAACCTATAACTCAATTCCCATGAAATCTTATACTAGACGAAAATCAACTAAAATTGTTAATAAAACACCTTTAGTGCATACAACACAGGGGGCAAACGAGCATGCGGCTCACCTGATGGTAAGTGACTACCGCCGCCCATGATCACCCACAACACCAGCGGCATTGCATGCCGGCCTTTTAAAAAGGAATATACTCTTTTCTTGAAGGTTATGTTGTTATCGGTTCGGAAATACTGCTGCTGGAAGTTGATTCCAAAGAATGGTTGTGCGTGGAAGAAAGTGCCTTGAAAAACGCACGGTGGAAGACCGCCACTCGTCCAGATGATTGGGATGAAACTTTAGTTTGTGGCGGGTTGTACGGTGGTGAAAATCAGCAGCAGGTATCAATCCGAACAATTCCTCAGAACACTCCCCATGATAAATTCGGTAGAAGATGCACAGAGATGCAACACAATGGGTCAAGTCGGACAGTAAGGCGTTGACTATCGATAATCGAGCCGCCCGACTTTGAATAAACTGTGGCGCTCCTTAATAATAACTTGGGCTTTATATAATTTCAGGCGGTGTTCTGGCATGAAATATCGTCTCACCCTATTGAGCACTCCTAAAGTAAACTAATATATTAATTATTTAGTTATTTAGCAACCCATAGCTTGGCAGTTTAACTAATGAATCAATAAATTAAATAAATTTATTTACCTTCACACCAAGCGAGGCAGGCAAAGAGATCAGAGTATTTTATGTCATGTTATAAATTTTGTGTGAGGATCCATATCCCACAAACTAATCTTACCAAGAGGGAAAGAAAATTAAATTAACAAAAAAATACCTTAGATAATGGTATAATGGTCGAAATTTAAGGTAGGCAAAAAAAATACATCCTCTAATAAAAAAAAATGTCTATTTTCTATTCACCATCATTTAAAATACTAGTATCACAGGATTCAGTCGTTTGAGGCTTTATACATATACGTAATTAAATGACTGAAATATTAATACATTGAGCAAGTATGTATAAACCAAATATAACATTACAATTATGCTAACAGTAATACGATTTATATCAATTTAATATATTCAATAACAATCCATTAACATACAGTTGTACATGTGGTAATAATTAATTAACGGGCAACTGTACATACGATGGTAATAAATTGATTAATTGTTAGGCAACTCTACATATAGTAGTAATAAAGTAATTAATTGACGGGCAATCGTACGTACGGTGGTAATACGTTAATTAATTCTCAGAAAATTGAACATATTGTGATAATAATTAAATAACTGTTTTATGTGAGATTACATAGTAATATTACTGTATTATTAGTGTGATTATTAAAAGAGACTAAAAAAACTTAACAATACTTTTGTACGGCATACACGTAAAAATCAGTTACAAAAAAAAAATAATACCTCCAAAAAAGACAAGGGGCAAATCTAGTAAATAATACTTTGTCATTAAGTATACAATTTAATATTAATTAAATTTGTATTACTTAATTAAATTCATAGTTCTTGAAATTTTCTTAGGTACCTCAAAATTAAAAAATAAGTGCTTAACGTTAATTAGAAAAGACTTAAAAAATCAAATCTCCCAATTCTTTTCGCAAGTTAACAATTTGCTAACATGGAAAAGAATTTTTACAACTTAACTAAATAAGACATTAATTTCCTTCTTGTGAAATTTCAAAATACTTTAACAAGTAAATTTAAATAATTGTAATAAAAAAAGTAATTAAAAAAACACTTGGAAATTGTAAACAAGTGTAACTTCATAATTTAATTTTAATTACTTTAATTTACAATTAATTCAAAATGGGAATTACAAAAATAATTACGATATACCTAATCGTAATAAAAAGCTTCTGACTAGTTAAGGAACTGAAGCTTCGTAATATTTAGATCATTTCCAATATATAAATCGATACAACGAAAATTAATATCCTCAGTCTAATCCAAACATAATCAAAGAATTCTAGTACATTTTCATGGAAAATGTAATCGTAAATATCAAAATTGTTTTTATAACTGCTTTCCATGTCGCGTACGCTTACGAAGTCTTTGGAAAAATCTCTGCTGACAATTCCGAAGCCTGTTAGACTTTCAATAAATTTTAATTCGACAACGACCTGTTCAGTGTTCCCTGCAAATTCACTAACAAAGGAGAATTGCTTCGCTTCAAACTGTTCTCCTGTAGACAGGGCGATAGGATAGTTAGAATTACCATTAGTAAAATTCCCAATAACTGTCACCTTATCAAATGCCAGGCCGATCGCGTTATTTTCATTTCTGTGGAAAAGAAAAAAAAAAGTGATTAATACAAAAACAAATTATTATTATTTCTTATCCTTGCATGGCAATTCATTGTTAAAGTCCTGGCATAGAATAGTGAATAGACCAGCCCTTCCTTTTCCATGGGTGTCGTAAGAGGCGACTAAGGGAACGTATAGCGGAGGGGTGGGCAGCTCTCTCTCTTCGTCCTCTTCATTACTGAAGGTCGTGTCCTTGAAAGGTGTCTGTTGCCTCTCTTATGATGTTATTCTATTTTGCACGGTCTTCATTTTCTCGCAGGGCAGCAGCTGCAACAAGCAGCTACGGGGGGGGGGGGGGGGGGGGGCGAACAGCCCCATGCCTCATAAACCATTACCAAAAACCAAACTACGGTTGCCAACCCACGTGGCAATTACTGGCAAACAACCCCCCCCCTCGTTATGGAGGATGCTATGTCCAACAGTGGGCCAGTTAACAGCTGGTACAACAAATTAAAAAATAGGTACTCACTCGGTAGAACAAAAGCATTTCTGTGATGAATTGGTAAATACTGCACAGCTTTCAATCCCGATGTGTTGTCCATGGCCGAAATAACGAGTCCCTCTAAACGCAGCTAGCACGTAGTCAGCATCGATAGATTTGGACCCTAGAATGATTTTTGTCATTTAAATGTCACATCAAAGGAGAAAGTAGACTTTTATGAGTAATACCAGAAAATGGCAGCCTTTATTGCGAACATATTGTTTCTAATGAGTTTAAATTCCACGTGGTCCTCCTGGAATACATCCTATCCTGTCCTGTATAAATCCTTATTTGGATTTTTGGTGAGTGCATTAGTAACTATGTAAACTCCATCAGAAATATGTATATATATTATAGATAAATAAATCCTGATGAAGAAGCTTAAATTTTTTTTAGTGGATTATAATGGAATGATAACCCTCTTGGCCCTAACGGTATATACTGGCGTGTTCCCAGTACAGTATGATAGATGTGAATGAAAAGGCAGGTCGGTTAGTCCACCGTGATACATATACGATGCTTTTCAGGAAAGACCACGGGGACACTGACCCGACAATATACATGTATTTTTAGCGATATAACTGGTTACCCGCATTACTAACAATCCCTTCACCCCTACTGACTACTGACCTGACCTTAGCGACAGGGGGGAAAGGGATTGTTAGTAATGGAGACTGAGAATCTCATTGCTAGCAATATACCCAACCAGGTCGACCTCCTCGCGGTTCTCCCTGGAAACTATCATGGTTAATTCCTGATGACTTCATCATGATGGGCTAACTGGCCTGTTTTCACACGTGGTTCACGGTAGAAAAACAAATGGGATTGAGGCGCCTAAGCAAACGACTTTTGTCCAAAGTCTCCCTCTGATAACGTCCCATAGCTGGACACAGCTGTGGGACAGTACCACAGAAGCTTGTTAATATTGTTATAAACAATAATATAACCTATACTTACCCACAAATCTAGTCTTGATATAAAATTCACAGCAGAAACTGTCGTGGCATACCGTTTCTTCGTAGCCATCCCTACTGGCTTCCAAATTCATCGGTTTAGTGACGTAATGAGGTAAGTCTTTTCCAAGGAAAATCCTCTGCTTCCTCAAATGTACTACAGGTACTTTAAATGCCATATCTGGAAAAAAAAATAGAATTTAGTAGACCAACAGACCAATAGACAGACCTCCAGAGGTCTTACCCACGGCCGACCTGATGGAAAATGTTAACCGTCGCGTATAGACATGAGCAGTACCGTGGACATAACAGAGTATACTGTTTCGCCCATGACACTCCCCATGCGTTGCCATTCCTGAGGACTCAGGTGTTATTCCTCCTCGGAGATGCGGTGAGTGCGAAAGCGAACCCATGTCTCCGACATATGGCACCTCGAGGGTATATCGCCTGGTTTTTGGTGGGTACACCCCCACCTTACGGGGGGATTCCCACAGTACCCATTCACCTCCCACAAGGTGTATGGATCCGCATAAAGCATTTTCCAGACGTTAAAAAAAAAAGGTGTTATTCCTCTGTACCCTGTAAAACCATGGTGCTGTTATGTCTACAAACGGTGGCATTGTGCACGTAACTTACATACAGTGTGACGATTACCACCTACCATATTAACAGGTGTATAAAGAATTAAAAGAAAATAACAAGTGTTTAAACAATTATTTTTATTATTTAAATAAAGTATTATGTGTTTATTTATATGAGTGTATTATATAAATTAATGTACTTTATTATTTATTATAAATTTGCATTTTATAACAAAGAGGTAATATAAAGGTATTTATTATATTGAACCTTACCCTAGATAACCTGTACTAATAGGGGGGAGAAGGTGTTGTTAGTAATGGGGATTAGGATCCCCATTGCTGGCAATAAACCCAATCAAGTCGGGGGGAAAAAGGATTGTTAGAAATAGCAATCAGCAATCCTATTACTAGCAATTTATCAGGTCGACCTCCTCGCGGTTTCCCCTAGAAACTATCTTGATTGATTCATTGGTAAATTTTTCACGATGGGCTCACTGACCTGCTTTCATCCTCACCTATCATCTCTCACTGGTGCCCCTACAGTATATGTATAGCGTAGGAGGGGTTACCAGACCATTATCACTCATGGGTGAAAGGTTTTTTTTTTAAATCGGTTGAGTAATTTTTGAGTTTAATAATTATAAACCGTCAAATCTTTCCTCTTTTATAAAATTTGTATAGACTAACAGCTCCGACAGACGTTCTGTCGGTAGATATTGGACTGTGACCACAGATAGAAAGAAATTAATAATAATAATATTGTCGCAAGAACCTTCCTATGACTTTTACGTATATTAAAATAAATTACTTCAGCCGCTATCGAGTTCCGACTTAGCAACACATTTACAGATTCGATTTTTTTTCTTTTCACAAGAACTTTCCTACAAATTGAACGTATATTGAAATAAATTGCTTCAGCCATTCTCTAGTTCTAACTGGGCAACATATTTAGCGATTCGATTATTTTTCTCTTCACAAGAATTTTCCTAGAATTTTAACAAATATTAAAATAAATTACTTCAGCCGTTCTCGAGTTCCGACTGAGCAACACATTTAACGATTCGATTTTTTTCTCTTCACAAGAACTTTCCTAGAACTTTAACGAATATTAAATTAATTATTATTAATTTAATCACTTCAGCCGTTCTCGAATTCTAACTGAGCAACACATTAAGCGATGAGATTTTTTTACTCTTCACAAGAACTTTCCTAGAACTTTAACAATAATTAAAATAAATTACTCCAGCCGTTCTCGAATCTGACTGAGCAACATATTTAGCCATTCGTTTTTTCTCTAAAGAGAGTTCTAGGAAAGTTCTTGTAAAGAGTTACAAGAACTTTCCTAGAACTTTAACTAATATTAAAATAGATTCAGCCGTTCTCGTGTTTTGCCCTAACAACACATTCAGCGATTCGATTTTATTTATATAGATTAACTCACCTTCGCCGACACGTTTGTACAGATCAGTAAACTTCAGTCCACCACTCATCAGCATATGAGTGTCGTCAGAAATACCATCAGGAGATACCAGATTTGCCTTGTTCACGAACGCCCAAGACGATGAGAATTTGCTTGCTGGAAAGATAATAAATCAAGAATCATCATTACATCATTGTCTCATCATCATCATCATATCATATCAGCCGTTAGCTGTCCTCTACTAGGGGGGAGGAGGTTAGTAATGCGGACTACCAGTCCCATTGCTAGCAATATACCCTGACAGGTCGACCTCTATGTGGTTCCACGTGGATACCACCGTGCTGAATTGTAAGTGTATTTGTCACGATGGGCTAACTGGTCTGCTATTTCATTTTCACTTATCATCCCTCCCTGGTGCCCCGCCGGTGTATACCAATAGCAGCAGGCGGGGTTACCATTCCATTATTATCCATAAAAGAAAAACTGTCCTCTGCTGAACATAGGTGTCCCCATAAGGGGAGTTTTGGCAATAGTTGCCACGCTTGACAGGCTGATATGATGTTTAAGAAGGACCCTGCCCATCCCTCGACTATTTAGTTCCTTTAAGTTTATCTCAGTAATATAATAATATTGTAAATAGATTATATCTGTACGAGTACATAGAAAATATTTAAGAAAAACTTATATGAGGGCCCTTTATAGGAGCAACAGAAACCAAAATAATTTTTTTTTGAAGTTTTAGACATTTTGTCTATCTATCTATCTATCCGTACGTTTGTTCCAGTATCAAGCAAAAATTACTACACCAAACTGGAGGCAATTTCCATAATTCTATTCCTGAATGTCAAACTTGAAACCTGGTATATATTTTATCTTAACACGACGTCTAGAACTGATCTATTTAATTGGCTTTCCTACTTCTGAATTCCGCTCGTAAAATCTTCATCATCATCATTTCAGCTATTCTCTGTCCATTGCTGGACATAAGCCTTTCCCATAGACCGCCATAAAAAAAGGTCCTGAGCCACCTGCATCGACTGACTCCCTGCAACGCATTTCAGGTCGTCACTCTATCTAGTCACCCGTACAATGTAACAGGCATATATAGTTGCTGAATAAAGCCATTTAAAAAATTGTCTTACCGCTCAAATATGGTATCTCCGTAGTCCAAGTTCCAGTCATCACGAAGTTCTTCAAGCCCTTAAAAGCCTCAGGACTTCTAAGGACAAGATCCTCTTCCATAAGTAATCCAAAAGTAACATTAAAATCCGTTTTGAAAACGCCGAAATCCGTCTCAACCGAGGTACAGTTGGTAATATTGTTCACTGGTTTTCTATATCTGTTGACAATTGGCGAAGAATTACAAAATCCAGAGGAAAAACGAGAGATCCACTGAAAGAAGACTTTGTATGAAATGAGTGTGACCTCTGCATGTGTATCTTTCGCCGTGTATAAAATCGCTGCATAAAATAAGCCACCCCTTCCTTTCCTGTATCTGTCGTAAGAGGCGACTAAGAGAACTTAGTGATTCGAAGATTAGTGATTAACAAATGTCAGTTTTGATGATTAACCAATTGAAGTATCATCAGTACCAGATGATTCGAGATTTCGATCTTTAAGGAACAAGCTCTTAAGGATTTACATCCAGAATTAAGTAAAATATTATATCTAAAAGAAATCTCTGGGTGTTGCATACTAAAACCAGAGGGAGACTTTGTACAAAAGTCGTTTACTTGGGCATCACTGTCCCGTTCTACTTTTTTTTACTACTTTACTACTAATTTCTACCGTGAAGCAGTAATGTTTGTATGGTCGTATTTCTATTTCAAGAGTGGAATCTAGCAGTGAATTTACAGGATACAGAGGAATAACACCTGAGTCCTCAGGAATGGCAACGCATGGGAGTATCATGGGCGAAACAGTATACTCTGTTATGTCCATGGCACTGCTCATATTTATAGGCGACGATTACCACTTTCCATCAGGTAGACTGTCAGCTTGTTTGCTGTTTTAAATTGCATAAAAAAACACCGACGGATTTCAATTAATACTCACTCAGAGATTATAGATCCCTCCCTATCGAAGACCAGGTTGCTTCTGATCGTCACATTTACATTTTGACATCTAACCGTCTCATACAAATGTGCGACCACATATAGTCTCGCTTGTTTGGTTGCTTCTGACAACGTTTTCACTACCTGAAACAGAATTATTATATTTTTGATTGCTCTCAGAAATAACAGATATTATCAGAAAATCAACCTAACACAGTGACGTAGGAAGTAAAAAGTAAAGAAGTTGGAGGTTAATATATAATTTATATGTCTTTCAATTTGACCGCGCTCAGCGGGCCGTGGCGCGCCCTCAGGCTCGTGTTCGCGTTACGTCGCTCATGATTAAGGGTCACGAATTGATCCCCAAACTAGTCAAGTTTTCTTGATCTAATTACACGTAAGTTAAACCGGTAGTTATTACATTACGAACGATTATAAACGATTTACGTAAAAATTAATACAACAAAGATGTAAAATGCAATAGCCAGAGGGAAATTTTGTATAAAAGTCGTTTGCTTTGGTACTTCTGTCCCATTCATGTTTCTACTGTGAAACAGTTGTGTTTGCATGGCTCAGTTGAGAGTGAGAGTACGAAAGGGGAATATCATGGGCGAAACAGTATACTCTATTATGTCCATGGTACTGCTCATGTCTATACGTGACGATTATCACCTTCCATCAGATGGGCCGTCAGCTTAGTTGCATAAATAAAAAAAGATACGCTTGAGCTACCTGCATCTATGACCTGGTGGTCTACCATGAAACGAAAATCCGAACTTTCGGGCTCAATTTCGTGTTTTTGTTCGTACCAAAATCGACCCAGTAAATGGAGCTTAACATTTCGTTCATCATAAATCCTATCCTTATAGTCCAGAGGAATGATATTTTAACATTTTTAATAATTTTAAACGGCATGTATTATGTAATTTTAACATCAAATTTCTATTTCGTTCGTGCCCGAAATTTCGGAAAATATTTCGTGGTAGGCCCTCTGCTTGCACATATTTGATATCGTCATTACACTTAATAGACTTACTTCATCATAATCATCCGACACGGAAGTCATAGTCTCAAAAGATGATTCATCTGGTGGTGGGAAGACTAGGATGTCCACATTCTGTAACAAAAAATATCATTTCCAAATTCAAAATTTACTAGAGGGAGACTTTGTACAAAAGTCGATTGCTTGAGTACCTCTGTCCTATTCCTTAGTCGCCTCTTACAACACCTACGGGAAAGAAATGGGTGGCTTATTCATGCTGAGATCACACGATACTTTGCCTTACATACACAGTCGATATTAGGTAATATAGCAAATATGTGGAAGTCTTGTTATTTAACCGTCAGCTGTTAAATTTACATTAAATTTAACGTCATTTGTACATTGTTTGGAAGTGTTTGACCGTTCTTCACTTATTTAATACGTTCATAGTCTTTAAAAACAAATAAAAAAGTCGGTCAAGAGAGTGTTTTACGCGTAGTAGTCCAATCCCTCAAAGTTTTTTTGTGTCTAATCCACTTTTTTTTTATACAACTTAGAATGGCCCACCTGATGGAAAATGGTAACCGTCGCCTATAGACATGAGCAGTACCATGGACATAACAGATTATAATGTTTTGCCCATGATAACCCCCATGCGTTGCCATTCCTGAGGACTCAGGTGTTATTCTTCTGTACCCAGTAAATTCACGCCATATCCCACCCTTCAAACCGAAACAGCCATGCAAACAAAACTGCTTCACGGTTGAAACACGAATGGGACAGAGGTACCCAAGCAACGACTTTTGTACAAAATCTCCCTCTGTAGGACCTTGTTGCTGACTTGAAGTTATTGTCAGATTATTTTATTCGCTTATTTGCTCCCTTTGTTTGCTTTATATATGTATATTTTTATAATTATATTATCTTATCTTTCTAAATACGTCGTGTTTCCATACAGTCCTTTCGGCCATACTTGTATATCTAGTTTCAATAAGGGGCTTTGGAAAAAAATGTGTCTAAAAGATTCTACATTAACTTAAAATGTCAGCAACACACAAGGAACTTTCATTGTGTAGAAGGTGTTCATAGAAAATAATAGCCACTACCCACGAGATAGAAAATCAGCTCATTTCTCTTTTTTTAATACCACTGAGGTGGCAAACAAGCATATAGCCCACTTAATGGTAAGCGGCTATCTTAGCATATGAAAACTTGCAATGCCAGGAGCATTGCGCGGCATTATCAATCCTGAAGAAACCTCTTTATCCCTTTCTTGAAGAACCTTATGCTGTAGCCTTTTGGAGTAACCTCTATAGGGAGCTCCCTATGGAATGAGTCCATAACCTGAGTGTTTGAGGGAGGAAACATCTCTGAAACCGCGCTGTATACGACCATCTGGGCCTTAAAGTTTGGGGGTGAACTCCCTGTCGATGGCGAGCTATACAATGGTAGAAGATTCACTCTCTAATAATAAAGAAATAACGCAGTTTTTTTAGCATGTATGCCACCAATTCATATATTAATCAATAGGGTTTATTTATACCTCTAAAACTAACTTTAAGGATCTATTCGATGATTCTTACCAATTTAGCTGCTTGTTTTATATATGACACATATCTTCCTGGATCGGATCGGATAGAACTGACGACTCCAGCTCTGTACGTGTCCTGTAACAAATACAATGTTTTGTTTTAAAAGAAAATTATCATTTGCTTACTTTTATCCCATTATTTTTCTACAGAATTCCCTCCTCTTCCACTGATCCCTATCTGTCATCATACCTAACTCCAATTCTGTCCGTTATTATATATATATATAGAGTTTCCTCTTGTCGGTGCAACTAATTCATGCATCTTCTTCTAGCCAGCTCTATCCCAGGCCATATCCTTGATCTCCCTATACGACATGACACCTAGTGTTTCCTTTATCTGTCCCATATAGTTATTCGTCGGTCTTTCTCTTATTCTTTTGCCCTCTATTTTCTTTCTACTATACTCTTAAAAAAATCGTCATGTCGTATATTTAGAACAAAATCATCATCATCAGTTCAGCCGTTAACTGTCCACTGCTGAACAAAAGCCTTCCCCATAAGGGGAGTTTTGCCAGTAATAGCCACGCTTGGCAGGCGGGTTGGCAACAATAGTTAGGCTTTTAGAGATATTTTAAGAGAGGTGAGAGCAAGGAATTAAGTTCCGTTAGTTGCCTCTCACGATACCCACAAGAAACGAAGGGGTGGTCTATTCTATAAAACAAAATAATAAATAAAAATAAGGTAATTGTGTCCATTTCTAAACTCATTTTGATAATTCTTTTTGCATTCTATAGATAACCTATGTTGTAACGATACCATGTTGGACGATTAAAACTAGAGTTTTCTTAACGGAGCAGGAAACTTGACCTTACATTTTTAATTTTTTTTTTTTTGCAAATTAGAATAGCATACAAGCTGACGGCCCATCTGAAAGCGGAAACCATCGCATATAGACATAAGCAGTAACTATGGACATCAGAGTATACCGTTTCGCCCATGATACCCCCCATGTGTTACTATAATTAAAATAAATGTTTTCAATACATTTCAATTTTGTAAAAAAAAAAAAAAAAAAAAAAGAATTATATTTGTATTTGAATAAATAGGTTACATTTCAATACATTATTTACACAAATTCATAATTGAAACTTTAAAAAAAAAAAGAGACAGCTGAGTTTCGTGGCTGTTCATCTTGGCTGAAATTGGGTTCCGAATGGGCGATAGAATAATAAAAAAATGACTATTCAATAATATATAAACTTAAGTTTACTTGATTTAAATATTTTTATATTTCTTTTTTTTCTTTCAAAATAACTGAATAACAACAACTTGTCAGATTTGTGTTTTTTTTTTTTATTTTCTTATTGAGGAATAGCTACTGGCTAGTATAATAATGTAATAATACAATTTGTGTTCTTTTTCGAATTTCGAATTTAATTAAAAAAAAATCTCTTTTCGAAGAAAAAAAATATCTCAAAGCGGTATGAGGACATAACTAAGTAGTTAAACAATATAAACAATAAAGTAGTATACATTGGCCAAAGTACAAAATTTAAGTGATCAAAGTTCAAATCTAGTACTATGTATCACCTTACCTAATCTGAAAAGTAATTATCTCCTAATATTTTATCTATGTCCTAACGATCCTACACGGCTTTGCGTGTGTATGGTAAATAGAAAGATAAATTTACCCGCCATTTCGCCCACATGTTTTGAATACCTACATTCATTGATAGCTATACAAACTGCCTTATTATTTATATTTCTTGTCTATTCTCTATGCCAAATACATGTACCTATACAAATTTCAAAACGATTGGTTGAACCGTTAGCACCAAGAAGTAACAAACAAAATACAAATTCACTTTCACATTATAATATTAGTTAGAATGGTTTACGTGACTTACTCTCCGTAGCACCATGGCATGAAGCGATAGGGATGCAGGGATTAGGGCAGTTTGACAAAGGCATGATTTGTAAGAAAGGGACGCAGCAACAACACGCGTGCACCGCGTGATACGCGCATGGACTGCGGCCGATGACACGCATCCAAGATATTTGGAATACATAATCTTTTTATAGTTCCTATGATGATATTTAAAAATAGAATTTACTAACTTTTTTTTATATAAAGAAATATTAAAATACCACCATTTTTCAATCGTCTACAAAAAGGAGTTTGTTGTTGAATTAACCTGTAATTAAATATTCTTTTATGCCAGTAATTACTCTATACAAGTGCTAAACTGCTTATTTACGAATTCTAAATAGATTTATGTAATTCTTTTGTAATAATGTTGACCCCATATTTTTTCACGGAACAAAATGTGGAAAAAAATGTTATTTTTAGTAAATATGTATAATAGTTAACAGTGACGCCTGTATATATTATAAAAAAATATACTATTTAAAATAATAATTTACATATAATACAGTTCAAAAAACAATATTGTTTGAAATTATGAATATTTATTTAATGGTTATGTATGTTAGACGAACGTAGCTTTGTTTTTGTCTGATATATTGCTAACTAAATGGCTTCGGCTTTATCTATGTGAAATGCATACTTTTAGATGAAATATTAAAGTATATTTTAATATTTCATGTAAAAATATTTTGCATTCAAACTAAACGGACATGAATCGACTGTTAATGATAGTTTATATGCTGGTGCACGTGAACAAAACCGCTGGAAACAATAGTAAGATGATATTAGTAAGAAATACCCGCATTTTATTAATTTTTTCATTCATTACGCCGCATTCCTAATTATTCATCACATTGCCTTTTTTCAACTTTTATCAATTCAGTCTATGTAAAACCATATTACATTTTTGTATTAATATCTCATTTTATAATATAAATATTTATTTTATAAGTATTTTTAAAATAAAAGTCTGAAAACTAAAAGTACTCGATATGATAACATTTTTGAAAAAAGAACAAACCATGTTCGTAACAGTAGTCAAATTGCAACGGCCACGTCATTCAAAATATTGGCGAAACACTAGAAAGCATTTGAAGATGGATCGGTTGTGAAGGAAACATTAAGGATACCCACTAACCAAATACCCGAATAAATATGTTCTATAAATATCTCAGTAATATTTACTTTTATTTATAAAAATTACAATTGAAACAAACATTATTAGATTAGGTAAATTACAGGTAGGAAGGAATTTTTTTTTAAGAAAAATGTCACCGCACTCAATTTTGAAAATAGAATTAAAATAGTTGTTTCTTACGCAAATTTAAATAAAATGTGTCCTATTTTAATATTAAATTAGATATAGTCTCTCTGAGTACCGAGTATTACACAAATTAATACACACGTTTAAGGTAATCGAATAATTACATATCTCTACAGACTCTCCGATTATTTTTATTATTTAATTTTGTAAAAAAAATATAGTTCTAAATTTTCACTAATATTTCAATAATCTTTATTCATAAAGTTTGCAACATGACTTTTTACAAATAAAATATTTTTTTTTTAACTTACACTGGCCAGTGACAAATTGCAGCACAGAAAACAAATCACCACATTTATTAACAGCCTCATTTTTAAAAACACTTTCACAAAATAAAAATTAAAAAAGATTAACAGGCGACTTCCTTCCAAGCCGGACGGCGCTATTGTGTGCGCTCCATAACAATTTAACAAACTTCTCTATAGTGTGTGAGCTGTGCACTGTATTTTTTCTTATCTATGGTATTGCATCTTCGACAGCTGATACCTTTATTACGATATCACTTACTACGACTTTAAACACGATATATGTAAATGTCATGGTACTGATTATTTTAGGCCAATATACATGTAGCGTATTTAAGTTTATTTCCAAAGGAGGTCTGGTCTCTTAAAAAGCTACATGTATTATGTACTCTCAAACATGTGGATAGCTAAAAGTCTCCTCGCATCTTAAGTTAGACATCAAACTGTTCTAGGTTGGAGACGTGTCCCCGAATAAGCTTTATTTAATATCACTAGCTATATTCCCAGACTTTTCATCCGTGAGTCAGTGTATAAAATATCTTTTGTACCTATAATCATAATCTTTTACAAAATTTCATTAAAATCCGTTCAGGCGTGTAAGCGTGATTTAAAAACAAACATCCATCCTACATCACAAACATTCACGTTTATGATAGTATAGTAAAAATAAGATAGAATTAGTAAGATATCTACCCCTCTCTCTGTGTCTCTCAATTTATACTTTTCAACATAGTAACAACATAAAGGCATTAAGCCCGCCACTTGTACAAAGTTTTATTGCGCAATAAAGAATAAATAAAACAATAAACATAGTACGAAATAAGTACTACCTGTGATCGTTAAACGTGTAACATAGAGATCGAAAAAAGGCGGGAAGCATTAAACATGGCGGTATTCTAACTAAAATTAAAATACTGAATGCTGACAGAAATGGTTCTAAAAATAACGACCGATTGCTATTGAAGTGAAGAAGAAGAAGACTAAACTAAGCATTACCTATACTAAATAATATGAACAATTTGGCTAAATACCATACCATAGACAATTTATAATATATCACATGACAGCAGTGCACGTAAACCATCGCAATTTCAAATAACGGCATAAAGCACCCGGGGCACAGGTAACATAACAATTCAGGTATAAGTATACCTGGACTATTTTATGTAAATAAATAAGGTTCGAATTTACCATTGTCTTTCCTTTATTCACCTTTATCTACGGGGTTACTCGGCTACCTTGTAAAATGACTCACAATATATTACTCACATGAATTACTATAAAACAATAGTTTATTATTCACTGAAATACATACTTACCTAATTATGTATTCAACAAACTTTACTTTATGCCATTTCCATAGATTTTATATTTTTCTGCGTGAAGTAAAGTATAATATTATGGTCGGTCGACTACATTTCCAAAAAAAAAATTCTTCTCAATTTATTAGTTTTATTGTAACTTTATTATGCAATCATATCATTAATTCTGAATCAAATTCGATGATATTTTAAGAAGAAAGAAGCTCTTAATTCGATTGCATTTTTTATGTTTGTTACCTTCATAACACCGTCAGTTTCAAACATATTTAAACAGTTCTTTTTTTTTATCCTATATTCCTTTCAGGAAACAATACAAAGATCAAACGTCTTATGAACTTATTTTAGGTATTGTACTGTTTTCTCTCATTCTTTTATGATATATTTCTAATTTGAAAGAAAGTGACAGAACAGTTCAATAGTTAAAATAGGTTGCTGGTGGGTTTTAGTTTTTATGAATAAGGTGGCAACAAATTGGTCGCATAGAAATTTTATTAAAATCAAATATAGTAGTTTAATTTTTAAATGTAAATAATTGGTTTAACCATGATTGTAGTCGGTTTATTTTAATGTAACAAAACCTACAATTATTTACAATCAATAGAGTTTAACCCTTAAATACCTGAAGTTTCAAATTTGATACCGTGGTTATAAATCACATTGGGCGCCTACAATCGATTTTATTTTAATATTTGGCTGTTTACATGTTACCAAATATATATATATATATATATATATATATATATATATATATATATATATATATATATATATATATATATATATATATATATATATATATATATATAGTTCAATTCATATATATTTTATACAACTTAGAATGGCAAACAAGCTGACTGCCCACCTGATAGAAAGTGGTAACCGTCGCCTATAGACGTGAGCAGTACCATGGACATAACTGTGTATACTGTTTCGCCCATGATTCCCCCCATGCGTTGCCATTCCTAAGGACTCAGATGTTATTGCTCTGTACTCAGTAAATTCACGCCATATCCCACCCTTCAAACCGAAACACAATCATGCAAACACAACTGCTTCACGGTTGAAACACGAATGAGACAGAGGTACCCAAGCAATCGACTTTTGTACAAAGTCTCCCACTGGTGAGGACTTTGTACAAAAGTTTGAGCACTTTACCCATAAGTACTCGAAATTTGGCGATAGTAAACTACTGGGCTTCTATCCTCTATGTACCCTTTAGAGATGATGACGTGATGCTAATCATGCAGTGTAATCATCATAATTGATAACAGATATCAATACAAATGATGCGTGCTGAGTGCACGCTTTGAACACGTGTTAATCATATCTAAGGATTATTTTGATAGCTTGATTATTTACATAAATAGTCTATTGTTAGTATCGACTTTACTCCGAACATTATTGTAATGAAACACGTGATAATTCTGGCCATTATTTGCTTGAAGTTTATTTTATGCCATTATGAAGATGCCTGCTCTGATGTTCGTGTATGAATTCTTCCTTCTTCATTCTTCTAAATTCTATTCCTATTCTTTCATTATCCGAGCTATCCGTCTATGGAACTCCTTACCTCTTTCTATTAGATCAGCGCAATCTCTTGCCTCGTTCAAGAGGCAGGTAAAATCTCATTACCTATCTCTCTAATTTGCTTTGATGTTTACTATGTGTGATTTATCTTGATCTATTATGTATATTAATGTATTTATGTTTATGTATTATTATTTATATTATATATGTATGTTTATTTATTGTAATCTTATTTTTATATTTAGAATATTTTGCATTTTGTTTGATTCCTTTTATGCATTTACTGTGTCTGACTTACGCCATCTACCTTTCTCTCTGTACTTATCCATTCTTTATGCCAGGTTGTCTGTAAGAGATTGCTTTTAGCGATAAGGCCGCCTTTTGTATATGCACATTCTGTATAAATACTCCTTGTATACATCTTACTGTGTGCAATAAAGAGTTTATTATTATTATTATGAACTCTGTTTTTTTATTAAGACTAAATGCAACCGCATAAGTTGAGATTTTTTTAATGGATGATAACGGAATGGTAACCCCGCCTGCGCTAACTGTATACGCTGGCGGGGCACCAGTGAGGGATGATAGGTGAGAATGAAAAAACAATCACGATAAACTAACTGATTTGCTCTTTTATTTTCACCTCTCATCCCTCACTGGTGCTCCGCCAGAATATTAGCAAGGGCGAGATTGCTATTCCATTACCATCTATTAAAAAAATGTTTCAACAGTCTTAAATACCAAGAAAATTTGCTTAAAAGTTTTATTTTTAACTGAGACGATACGATATGATACTGTATCTTTGTGAATAATCGTTCATAAAAAAGCTCCAATTTTTTCTATGGAACCTACTATTTCTGAATCACACATCTTTACTAATACTATAAATAGGAAAGTGAGACTCAGGTGTTATTCCTCTGTACCCAGTAAATTCACTGCCATATTCCACTCTTCAAACCGATACACAGCCATGCAAACACAACTGCTTCACGGTAGAAATACGAATGGGACAGAGGTGCTCAAGCAAACGACTTTTGTACAAAGTCTCCCTCTGGTAAATATTGGATATAGTCTTATTTTTTATCTCAGTTAGTGAGACAATACCGGTCACGCAGGTGAAGTCATAGGTAAAAACCAGTACCTAATAAATATTATAGGTATTTTTTTAATGGGTAATAATGATATGGTAACCCCGTCTGCGCTATTGGTATACACTGGCGGGGCACCAGTGAGGAATGACAGATGAGGATGAAAGCAGGTCAGTTAGCCCATCCTGACGAATTAAACTAGAATTAGTCACGATGGTTTCCAGGGGGAACCACGTGGAGGTCGACCTGACAGTGTATATTGGTAGTAATAGGGCTATTTGACCCCATTACTAACAATCCCTTTCCCCCCTATTATAGGTGTCAAGTACACTTAATTTGAAATTCTTTCTCTATAGATATCGATACAGTATATCTGTAGATGAAATATCTATGTTTTTATCTGTCGTTGTACTATCAGAAGCCGACCTTGAATGCCGGCTCTAAAAACTCAGTTTGTACTTTGCCTCTTGTACCAAAATACACATAGAATTTTTTTAACACATTTCTTTATCAACTTATTTTGTTATTATCTATTTAAACCTTTAACTGTCCATTGCTGGACATCACCACTTCCCTTCCCGTGGGTGTCGTAAGAAGCGACTAACGAAGGGCGAGAGATGAGCAACAGTGTCCCTCTTAAAACATATTTAAAAGCCCAACTGCGGTTGCCAACTCGCCTGTCAAGCGTGGCAACTACTGACAAAACTCCCCTTATGTGAAAGGCTTATGTCCAGCAGTGGGCAGTTAACGGCTGCAATAATAAAATTAAATTAAAAATATTATCTTTAATCTCGATTCAATCAGGTGATCAACCTTTGATTTAAATAATCATTCGGGTTATCTTTAATATTGAAATGTCGAAATTTTTTATAAACATATCGGCAGTGGGTTATCGTTGGTCAAACACGATGTGGAAGAGATTGCTTAGCGATAAGGCCGCCTTCTGTATCACTTCTCATTAATATTTACTGTCTTTGTTATTTCTCTTTTTACTTGATGCAATAAAGTGTAAATAAATAAATAAATGTTTCAGCCGACAATCTGCACTAAATCTACAATATATCTACACAAATATGCAGTTCCCGTCCGTATAACTTATAATGTTCCTAAACTTTGGTGTACTATAGTCTGCCAGGTCGACCTCCATGTGGTTTCTCTTGGAAACCACCGCGCTGAAGTCCAGATTTTTTTTACAACACAACACAGCATGTGGATCACCTGATGGTAAGTGACTACCGCCGCCCAAG